TCCTATTGGAATGTCCAAGGTCTGCGGCCAAAATCTTTGCGTGACCAAGCCTTTAATACACCCTCCAGAATATTTTCGAGATGATATTCGGCATTTATTCTAATGCCACGGTCGATTAATACGAGTGGAGATCGATCTTTGGCTGTTATGGCGGTCCACACCATCTTCATGGCTAGCGCTTGAGTTCTGGTGGGCAACCGAATGGGCACATTGTCAGCAGACGTCTTTGGCAAGTAAACACGATCATTTTGTTTGCTTACAAACTGCTAGACAACGAATGCTTTCTCATCGGAGAAAACCAAATTCCGCAATTCACCACTTTCGGCCAAGCGAAGCAACTCTTAGTGTAAGTTCTTGCACTTTTTGGATTTTCAATGGCTTTACCCCGAGCTAATTTTTCAATATTTGCCGAATGGAATATTGTGATAGGTTCAGTATCACGGTAACGAGCGATGGTACGAGAAACAACAGATATATTCACATGTAAATGCTGAAATGCTCCTACGATAGCCACTTGTTTTTTTTCCAGCCAAATATAAATAGATCACACTATCACGCTTGAATTCCATCTTGGTCCAGTAAAACAGTAATAAAATATTTAAATCGAACTTAAAGTATGCCATATGTATAATCAAAGTAAAGGTTACATTTGCACCTATGTATTAGTTATAATTCATAAGAAACCAAAAAATTAGAAAATAAAAAAAAATTATGAGGCTTGAAAGGAAAAAGTGTTTAAAGGTTCACTTCCATTTTTAACACCCTGTAACTCACAACTGAATGTACCAAACTAAAAACAACAAAATATTTTTTTTACTGCGAAATGTCACCCTTCCAACGAGCATATATCTGAAATTGTTTGATCGATATTTTTACAGCCATCTGCCGAAAAAAAATAATGAACTTTTTTTCCCCAAGCTAGTATTTAGTCCCCAGAATACAAATTTTGTAATTTTTCACACAAAAATCTAGGACCCTTTGACCGCTAAAAACTGACCGATCTTCATGAAAGCAGTCATGCTTACTCCATTTCTCTGTGTAAAATTTCGTTATGTTCAGGTCAAAATTCTGTCTATCAGAGTGACCAGAAAAACAAACAAATGTAAAGTTTTTTTTGGCCATTTTGGCCCCTAAATATAAACTGATCTTTACCAAAACAAATAGGCGTCCTTTTTTTGGCCAGAACCATTTTGCATGCAAAATTTCGTGATTGGTCCAAAACTATGGCCTGTATTGTTTTAACAAATTATAATGGACAGAAGGACGGATGGACACACATGTCTAGATCAACTCAGCTAGTAGGGATGTGACGATCGGTATATTAAAATGTGGGTCTAGAGCCAATATTTTGTGGTGTTACAAACTCTTAGGGTTACACAAAGCTATAATACCCTGACAATATAGTTGTGTAGGGTATACTATAAATGCCAATATTATACATATAGACCCTTCTGCCACATAGTATGTCCTCTCAAAGTTCAAATAAAATACCAGCATTTGCAAATCTATATAACCTTGACATTCGTTTCTGAGCGCCGCTCTCTCAATCATTTCAATTTTTTTTGAATAAAGGCTGAGGATAAATTGTTGCCGACATGTCTCATTGATTCGCATCGATTTACGGTACTTCATTGAATTCATTTTACTTAGGATTACTGTGTGTGTGGCTGTGTGGGTGTGTGATATATCCCCGACAAGAAAAATGTTATGACAAACAAACAGAGAAGAAAATAGTGTCACCATCACTTGTTGTCCTATGGCAACCTCCTCCGCCTGAATTCCTCTCCTTCAAATCAAATGTCATAAATTATTAAATTTCATTTGTAAAAGATTTTTTTGATTGAGGGGTATAAATAATATAGTAAAATACGACCAGAACCCCCAAAATACTGAAACTTAGGGGTATCGTTATATGGGGGCTATCAGAAAAAGTGGACCCATATTTATAATTTTTAGTGGAGATATTTGGTACCCAATAAGAAACCAATGTACAAAATATCAGTGAATTCGGTTGGAAAACGCGCTCAAGAACCCCAAAATACCGAGAATTGGGTGGTAGCCTTATATGGGAGTTATGCCGATATATCCCATCTTCGAACTTGACCTGCCTGCAGACAAAAGTCGATTCTATGCAAAATTTTGACGATATATCTCAAGTCGTTTAGACACTAGAGTGATTGGTCGGAAATTATTGTTTCGATACCCTTCACACTATGGTTGAGGGTATAAAAATGTGTCATAATTAATCTCGTTGATAATTTCCTCTATACTTTACCCTCCATAATTACACAAGAACTTCAGCATCAATTTAAATTATGTTTTTATTTTCAACGCTTTCAATATTATTTAAATTTTAATTTTTCTCAAAATAATGATTTTCAATTAGTTAATGTATCAATTTTCCCCCACTCAAATATTGGCATGTTTGTCTCTGCGGATATACAATGTCATGATAACTACCTGCAACTGTCAGCACACATGAAGGATGGATGCATTTAGCATCCATTCTTTCATACTCTCAGATATTGTCATCGCAATGGTATCAATATAAATAACAACAATAACAATATCATTAATATGTTGTCATTGACAATATTTGTCAGAGTGTGGGTGTCGGTGTGCGTGTATTTGTATGTGTTCGCTTGACACGTTAACGTCACAATTGATGACTAAATTATTGTTAATAATGGCCATGCAAAGAAGGATGTAATTTCAACCGGTGATTGTTGATGCTGCTATTCACGCATCAGGTTTCCAATTACAACTCAGTCACCATAGCCGAGAAGAAACTGCAATTTTGACGTTTCAGCTTTAATGTGTCGCTACGCAGGCAATCAATGCAACCAACCGACAATACAGGATGTCATATTGTTCATAGCCTCGGTTCGAAGGATTCGAACAGATATCTTTGCTTTTGTGTAAAATTAATCGATCGGCGAATGGTCCAAAAGATGGATATTTTAGGTTAATGGATATTAAAATCACATTAAGCGAACACTGTTAACTCAATTTATTTGCCATAATGGAAGCAATTGTTTAAGCGTCGCAGCAATAATGAAGATGTCGAGATTGATAATGGGGGTTTTATTAAGGAAACTACTATAATAACAAGTGCGACATAATAATGGCTTCCTTTGAAATATATAATAACTTAATAATTACAGGGATGGTTGGTCCTTTAGAAAATATTCTTTAAAAAATCCACGCCTTGGATGGTTGGTTGGCTTTAGAAAATATTCTTTAAAAAATCCACGCCTTGGATGGTTGGTTGGCTTTAGAAAATATTCTTTAAAAAATCCACGCCTTGGATGGTTGGTTGGCTTTAGAAAATATTCTTTAAAAAATCCACGCCTGGGATGGTTGTTTGGCTTTAGAAAATATTCTTTAAAAAATCCACGCCTTGGATGGTTGGTTGGTTGGCTTTAGAAAATATTCTTTAAAAAATCCACGCCTTGGATGGTTGGTTGGTTGGCTTTAGAAAATATTCTTAAAAAAATCCACGCCTTGGATGGATGGTTGGCTTTAGAAAATATTCTTAAAAAAATCCACGCCTTGGATGGTTGGTCCTTTAGAAAATATTCTTTAAAAAATCCACGCCTTGGATGGTTGGTTGGCTTTAGAAAATATTCTTTAAAAAATCCACGCCTTGGATGGTTGGTCCTTTAGAAAATATTCTATAAAAAATCCACGCCTTGGATGGTTGGTCCTTTAGAAAATATTCTTTAAAAAATCCACGCCTTGGATGGTTGGTCCCTTAGAAAATATTCTTTAAAAAATCCACGCCTGGTTGGTCCACGGATGGTTGGTCCTTTAGAAAATATTCTTTAAGAAATCCACGCTTTGGATGGTTGGTCCTTTAGAAAATATTCTTTAAAAAATCCACGCCTTGGATGGTTGGTCCTTTAGAAAATATTCTTTAAAAAATCCACGCCTTGGATGGTTGGTCCTTTAGAAAATATTCTTAAAAAAATCCACGCCTTGGATGGATGGTTGGCTTTAGAAAATATTCTTAAAAAAATACACGCCTTGGATGGTTGGTCCTTTAGAAAATATTCTTTAAAAAATCCACGCCTTGGATGGTTGGTTGGCTTTAGAAAATATTCTTTAAAAAATCCACGCCTTGGATGGTTGGTCCCTTAGAAAATATTCTTTAAAAAATCCACGCCTTGGATGGTTGGTCCTTTAGAAAATATTCTTTAAAAAATCCACGCCTTGGATGGTTGGTCCTTTAGAAAATATTCTTTAAAAAATCCACGCCTTGGATGGTTGGTCCTTTAGAAAATATTCTTTAAAAAATCCACGCCTTTGATGGTTGGTTGGCTTTAGAAAATATTCTTTAAAAAATCCACGCCTTGGAAGGTTGGTCCCTTAGAAAATATTCTTTAAAAAATCCACGCCTTGGATGTTTGGTTGGCTTTAGAAAATATTCTTTAAAAAATCCACGCCTTGGATGGTTGGTCCTTTAGAAAATATTCTTTAAATATTGTACAGATTCCCACAAGGACGTAGGATCTGTTGTGAAGTCTAAATTCAGACGAATTTAGAGCCTTAGGATTATGAGTTGCCGGCAAAAGCAACAACTACAACACATACAAAATATACGGACAACACCACAAGTATACGCTTTATACTCACGTGATGGTACGCACAAATAAATAAAAAGGAGAAAATAATTCACTGTTTTAATTATACAATACTGCCGGGCGACAGATTTATTGGGTTTTGATTTGGGTATTTGTGGGTTTCAAAAATAAGGATCAGGACGATCTTTTTTGTTGCACTACTTTTACAAGAGTGATTAGTGATGGGCGGAAATCGATTATGTTCCCCTTTATGAGATGAGGTCCAACTCGATGAGGTCGTCATCGGTGTCCATCGGTGTGGTACCCACGTACGGCTTGATGGCTGTGCGGCCATCAACATCCTCCGCCCCTTGCACTGGTGCAACCTTAACTGCCGCTGCCAGGACCTTCATTTGGTCCGCAATTTCCTTCAGCAACCTATTGGTCTCCCGTGACTCTATGCTTTCTGTAGGCTCCTGTTTTGGGATCTTTAGCCGATCCGCTACGGAAGATTTTTGTTGGGTTTCGGCCTTCTTGGGGGTTGCGTTTTTTGATCGTTGCGGGGGCTTGTTGTTGTTTGGCCTCTGAGGGGGGTTGTTGTTGTTGTTGGGCTTCTGAGGGGTGTTGTTGTTGGGCCTCTGAGTGGTGTTGTTGGGCCTCTGAGGGGCGTTGTTGTTGGGCCTCTGAGGGGGCTTGTTGTTGTTGGGCCTCTGAGGGGTGTTGTTGTTGGGCCTCTGAGGGGGCTTGTTGTTGTTGGGCCTCTGAGGGGGGTTGTTGTTGGGCCTCTGAGGGGGCTTGTTGTTGTTGGGCCTCTGAGGGGGGTTGCTGTTCCGATGAGTGAACCTGTTGTTGTTGTTGTTCCGCTGTGGGAGATTGCCTTTGGTCTGCTGCGGTTGATTATTGTCGAACTGCCGCTGGTTGTTGGGATGCAATAGCGTGTGGTGCCGTTCCCGACATATCCTGCAATTGCCTATTGCATTACAATTGCGTACCAGGTGCTCCCTCCCAAGGCAATTCAAGCAATATCTGTGCACCCGCACCGCATACTCCCTGTCCTTCTGCGCCATCCTACGAAACATTGCAAAAATAAGGATCAGGACGATCTTTTTTGTTGCACTACTTTTACAAGAGTGATTAGTGATGGGCGGAAATCGATTATGTTCCCCTTTATGAGATGGGAGGACGCCGATGACTACAGGTCCAACTCGATGAGGTCGTCATCGGTGTCCATCGGTGTGGTACCCACGTACGGCTTGATGGCTGTGCGGCCATCAACAAATATAAAAAATATTCTTTAATATTCTGTAAAAAATCCACGCCTTGGATGGTTGGTTGGCTTTAAAAAATATTCTTTAAAAAAATCCACGCCTTGGATGGTTGGTCCTTTAGAAAATATTCTTTAAAAATCCACGCCTTGGATGGTTGGTTGGCTTTAGAAAATATTCTTTAAAAAAAATCCACGCCTTGGATGGTTGGTTGGCTTTAGAAAATATTCTTTAAAAAATCCACGCCTTGGATGGTTGGTTGGCTTTAGAAAATATTCTTTAAAAAATCCACGCCTTGGATGGTTGGTTGGCTTTAGAAAATATTCTGTAAAAAATCCACGCCTTGGAAAATATCCTTCAGAAAATATGGTTGGATGGTTGGTTGGCTTTAGAAAATATTCTGTAAAAAATCCACGCCTTGGATGGTTGGTTGGCTTTAGAAAATATTCTTTAAAAAATCCACGCCTTGGATGGTTGGTTGGCTTTAGAAAATATTCTTTAAAAAATCCACGCCTTGGATGGTTGGTTGGCTTTAGAAAATATTCTTTAAAAAATCCACGCCTTGGATGGTTGGTTGGCTTTAGAAAATATTCTTTAAAAAATCCACGCCTTGGATGGTTGGTTGGCTTTAGAAAATATTCTTTAAAAAATCCACGCCTTGGATGGTTGGTTGGCTTTAGAAAATATTCCTTAAAAAATCCACGCCTTGGATGGTTGGTTGGCTTTAGAAAATATTCTTTAAAAAATCCACGCCTTGGATGGTTGGTTGGCTTTAGAAAATATTCTTTAAAAAATCCACGCCTTGGATGGTTGGTTGGCTTTAAAAAATATTCTTTAAAAAAAATCCACGCCTTGGATGGTTGGTTGGCTTTAGAAAATATTCTTTAAAAAATCCACGCCTTGGATGGTTGGTTGGCTTTAGAAAATATTCTTTAAAAAATCCACGCCTTGGATGGTTGGTTGGCTTTAGAAAATATTCTTTAAAAAATCCACGCCTTGGATGGTTGGTTGGCTTTAGAAAATATTCTTTAAAAAATCCACGCCTTGGATGGTTGGTTGGCTTTAGAAAATATTCTTTAAAAAATCCACGCCTTGGATGGTTGGTTGGCTTTAGAAAATATTCTTTAAAAAATCCACGCCTTGGATGGTTGGTTGGCTTTAGAAAATATTCTTTAAAAAATCCACGCCTTGGATGGTTGGTTGGTTGGCTTTAGAAAATATTCTTTAAAAAATCCACGCCTTGGATGGTTGGTTGGCTTTAGAAAATATTCTTTAAAAAATCCACGCCTTGGATGGTTGGTTGGCTTTAGAAAATATTCTTTAAAAAATCCACGCCTTGGATGGTTGGTTGGCTTTAGAAAATATTCTTTAAAAAATCCACGCCTTGGATGGTTGGTTGGCTTTAGAAAATATTCTTTAAAAAATCCACGCCTTGGATGGTTGGTTGGCTTTAGAAAATATTCTTTAAAAAATCCACGCCTTGGATGGTTGGTTGTCTTTAGAAAATATTCTTTAAAAAATCCACGCCTTGGATGGTTGGTCCTTTAGAAAATATTCTTTAAAAAATCCACGCCTTGGATGGTTGGTCCTTTAGAAAATATTCTTTAAAAAATCCACGCCTTGGATGGTTGGTCCTTTAGAAAATATTCTTTAAAAAATCCACGCCTTGGATGGTTGGTCCTTTAGAAAATATTCTTTAAAAAATCCACGCCTTGGATGGTTGGTCCTTTAGAAAATATTCTTTAAAAAATCCACGCCTTGGATAGTTGGTTGGTCCTTTAGAAAATATTCTTTAAAAAATCCACGCCTTGGATGGTTGGTCCTTTAGAAAATATTCTTTAAAAAATCCACGCCTTGGATGGTTGGTCCTTTAGAAAATATTCTTTAAAAAATCCACGCCTTGGATGGTTGGTCCTTTAGAAAATATTCTTTAAAAAATCCACGCCTTGGATGGTTGGTCCTTTAGAAAATATTCTTTAAAAAATCCACGCCTTGGATGGTTGGTCCTTTAGAAAATATTCTTTAAAAAATCCACGCCTTGGATGGTTGGTCCTTTAGAAAATATTCTTTAAAAAATCCACGCCTTGGATGGTTGGTCCTTTAGAAAATATTCTTTAAAAAATCCACGCCTTGGATGGTTGGTCCTTTAGAAAATATTCTTTAAAAAATCCACGTCTTGCTGACAGACTGGTCCTTTAGAAAATATTCTTTAAAAAATCCACGCCTTGGATGGTTGGTCCTTTAGAAAATATTCTTTAAAAAATCCACGCCTTGGATGGTTGGTCCTTTAGAAAATATTCTTTAAAAAATCCACGCCTTGGATGGTTGGTCCTTTAGAAAATATTCTTTAAAAAATCCACGCCTTGGATGGTTGGTCCTTTAGAAAATATTCTTTAAAAAATCCACGCCTTGGATGGTTGGTCCTTTAGAAAATATTCTTTAAAAAATCCACGCCTTGGATGGTTGGTCCTTTAGAAAATATTCTTTAAAAAATCCACGCCTTGGATGGTTGGTCCTTTAGAAAATATTCTTTAAAAAATCCACGCCTTGGATGGTTGGTCCTTTAGAAAATATTCTTTAAAAAATCCACGCCTTGGATGGTTGGTCCTTTAGAAAATATTCTTTAAAAAATCCACGCCTTGGATGGTTGGTCCTTTAGAAAATATTCTTTAAAAAATCCACGCCTTGGATGGTTGGTCCTTTAGAAAATATTCTTTAAAAAATCCACGCCTTGGATGGTTGGTCCTTTAGAAAATATTCTTTAAAAAATCCACGCCTTGGATGGTTGGTCCTTTAGAAAATATTCTTTAAAAAATCCACGCCTTGGATGGTTGGTCCTTTAGAAAATATTCTTTAAAAAATCCACGCCTTGGATGGTTGGTCCTTTAGAAAATATTCTTTAAAAAATCCACGCCTTGGATGGTTGGTCCTTTAGAAAATATTCTTTAAAAAATCCACGCCTTGGATGGTTGGTCCTTTAGAAAATATTCTTTAAAAAATCCACGCCTTGGATGGTTGGTCCTTTAGAAAATATTCTTTAAAAAATCCACGCCTTGGATGGTTGGTCCTTTAGAAAATATTCTTTAAAAAATCCACGCCTTGGATGGTTGGTCCTTTAGAAAATATTCTTTAAAAAATCCACGCCTTGGATGGTTGGTCCTTTAGAAAATATTCTTTAAAAAATCCACGCCTTGGATGGTTGGTCCTTTAGAAAATATTCTTTAAAAAATCCACGCCTTGGATGGTTGGTTCTTTAGAAAATATTCTTTAAAAAATCCACGCCTTGGATGGTTGGTCCTTTAGAAAATATTCTTTAAAAAATCCACGCCTTGGATGGTTGGTCCTTTAGAAAATATTCTTTAAAAAATCCACGCCTTGGATGGTTGGTCCTTTAGAAAATATTCTTTAAAAAATCCACGCCTTGGATGGTTGGTCCTTTAGAAAATATTCTTTAAAAAATCCACGCCTTGGATGGTTGGTTGGCTTTAGAAAATATTCCTTAAAAAATCCAAGCCTTGGATAGTTGGTTGGCTTTAGAACATATTCTTTAAAAAATCCACGCCTTGGATGGTTGGTTGGCTTTAGAAAATATTCCTTAAAAAATCCACGCCTTGGATGGTTGGTCCTTTAGAAAATATTCTTTAAAAAATCCACGCCTTGGATGGTTGGTCCTTTAGAAAATATTCTTTAAAAAATCCACGTCTTGCTGGCAGGCTGGTCCTTTAGAAAATATTCTTTAAAAAATCCACGCCTTGGATGGTTGGTCCTTTAGAAAATATTCTTTAAAAAATCCACGCCTTGGATGGTTGGTCCTTTAGAAAATATTCTTTAAAAAATCCACGCCTTGGATAGTTGGTTGGTCCTTTAGAAAATATTCTTTAAAAAATCCACGCCTTGGATAGTTGGTTGGTCCTTTAGAAAATATTCTTTAAAAAATCCACGCCTTTATTGTTTGAAAACCGAGCCTTGAATGGTTGGTCCTTTAGAAAATATTCTTTAAAAAATCCACGCCTTGGATGGTTGGTCCTTTAGAAAATATTCTTTAAAAAATCCACGCCTTGGATGGTTGGTCCTTTAGAAAATATTCTTTAAAAAATCCACGCCTTGGTTGGTTGATTGATCCTTTAGAAAATATTCTTTAAAAAATCCACGCCTTGGATGGTTGGTCCTTTAGAAAATATTCTTTAAAAAATCCACGCCTTTGTCCTTTAGAAAATATTCTTTAAAAAATCCACGCCTTGGATGGTTGGTCCTTTAGAAAATATTCTTTAAAAAATCCACGCCTTGGATGGTTGGTCCTTTAGAAAATATTCTTTAAAAAATCCACGCCTTGGATGGTTGGTCCTTTAGAAAATATTCTTTAAAAAATCCACGCCTTGGATGGTTGGTCCTTTAGAAAATATTCTTTAAAAAATCCACGCCTTGGATGGTTGGTCCTTTAGAAAATATTCTTTAAAAAATCCACGCCTTGGATGGTTGGTCCTTTAGAAAATATTCTTTAAAAAATCCACGCCTTGGATGGTTGGTCCTTTAGAAAATATTCTTTAAAAAATCCACGCCTTGGATGGTTGGTCCTTTAGAAAATATTCTTTAAAAAATCCACGCCTTGGATGGTTGGT